ACCAGGCCTGCTTGGGAGGGGCAGCTGCTGGGAAGCCCCTGGGGGCCCACCCTGAGCGGCTCATAAATCCAGGAGACCTCCAGGCGGCAGGAAGCCTCCCCGCGGAGGTGTCCCAGGGCTCAAGGCTTGTGGGAAGAGGAAGATGGTTGGCAGCCCCTCTCCCCTCGGGCGGGTGCCAGGGCCCCTCCCCCACGGCCCCTCCCCCAGGGCCCCAGCCCAGCAGGTTGTCCTGAGGCTGAGCCAGCAAATGAATGAGCAACAACTGTATACACTTTTTTTCTTAGAATCTGGCCCAGTCTGGGAGCTTTGATGACAGTAGGGGGTCCCCAAAACCTACCAGCAGGGACATAAGTCAGCTTGGAGCTACTTCCTGTCGGTAACTGTCCCCAGAGGTGGCTGTGCCAGGGCCTCCAAGGGCTCAGAGCTGACAGGCTCTGAGTCTCTTGGATCAGGGCTGGAGCTGGGGACGGAGGCTCGGAATGAACGGGGGCTCCCCTGTTCAGGGCGAGAACAGGGCTATCTGCTGTGGGCCAGCAGGTTCCCCTGTGGAAGAACCCAAGCATGGGACCCGGAGCTTCCGACTTTTTAGGGTGCCTTGGTGACCTGAGGGTCTCCCCGCCTTGGGACCCATAGAGGTTGAGGCTCCCTGGAAGGAAGGCGAGGTCTGTTCCTGTAGGACACAGAGGGCCTTGCACACCCAGCTGCTGAGAGGAACCCCCGCCCCCTGGTGCCAGCCAGAGGTGCCCAGCCTACCCTGGGCCTGCCTTCCGAGTCCACCACCCAACTCGGGCACAGGCCCTTCTTGCTGACTGGCTTCTGTGGGCCTGGCCCTTGGTCGGCCACTCCCCTGCTCCCAGTCACAGCCAGACCTGCAGCTGAGGGGAGGGATGAGAGGAGCATGGTCCCCGCCAGCCCTGCCACAAGCCAGGATTAGAAGAGAAGTCGGTTGTCACAGCCCTACATCGGGGGCTGCTAAGTCCTTCCTGTGAACTCCAGAATTGCTAAGGGGGGGCTGCCCCACCCTGTCTGCAGCTTTGCCAATCAGAGATGGCTGTGGATGGTGGGGACTCCCAGGCTGGCCTGGCCCCTAGGACGTGGGCTGCAGAGGCCAGCTCCTTGCTCCCTGGAGCCCATGAGCCCTCTCCATGCCTTTCCTCGGGCATCTGCCCCGTTCTGCAGACGTGCTGCTCCCTGCGGCTTTGCTCAGTGACGTCCACAGGGGTGCTGACCTCACCCATCTTGCCTCGTGAGTTCCAGGTCCCCCCGCCAATGCCTGCTTTTGTCTGTGCGAAGGGCGGGACCCCCCCCAGCCCCGGGCATGCTTGCAGCCCAAGCCCTCAGCATAAGGGTGGGCATTTGCGGTGTGGATCCCGAGATTTGGCTGCTTACCACTGAGAGCGGGGCCACTTTGTCTCCCCAGCCCGGCCACTGCCTGGCCTCTGCGCCAGAGCGGGACCCCCCTGGCTCTGTGCTGGGACCCTCTGCCTGCAAGCTGGTCTCTGCATGCCTCTTCCTGCCCCATGTAGTCTCCGTCTGCCTTTCTGAGGGTCACCTCCCTCATTTCTGAAGACGGGATGGGGGATCCTTACTGGGCCCCCGGTCTGCCCTCCTGAAGGTCAAGCTAGGACATGGGTACACAGATGGGGGTGTTGCTGAGGCTCGTTGGCAGGGTGTTGAGTGTTGTGTGGGTGTAGGGGCACGCCCGCAGGGACCGTGGTGCTCAGATGGGCAGAGCTGCCTGGGGCCTGGTGTCCCCCCAGGGGACCCCAGCCGTCCTGGACTCCCTGTGCTGTGGCGGGCGCGCTCACCGAGCGTGCGGAGTGGGTCTGCCTGAGGTCACCGTTTCAATGTGTATTTTGAATATTTTCAGCTGCATGTGCACGGCAGGGACTTGGCCCGCGCACTGTGTGTGCAGCTCATACTTGGTGGGCTGTGTAATGTGCGGACGCGTTGCCAAGGGTAGCGGAACTGTGGATTTTTTCCAGCATAATCACATGAACCCCACCGCCACCCTCCCCTGCCCCTGTGCCCGCCCGTGCCGTCCGGCTCCAAGGCCCGGGAGCTGCCGTGAGCTGCTGGGGTGGAGAGAGAACAGGGACCATTGCTTTGTCTCCGTGGACCGGTGTCCATCGCTTTTGGCCCCTGGATTCTCGGGGACAGCAGGGTGTTCAGGGACGGGGTACCCCTTTGGGCTGTGTCCTCAGTGTTGAGTGGATCCCCTCCAGGCCTACTGGCAGGGCCGGGGGAAGTGGGGTGGGGGAGGAGGGCTGCTTTGGATGCCCTGCCTGGTGTTCCAGAACATTCCTTCAGGGGACAGAAACTCCAGACCCCGGGAAGGTGAGGCGGGGGTCTCCCGTCCTTCTGCTCCGCGAAGAGCCAGAGAGTAAGAAGGGCCAGCCCAGGGCCTGACCAGGTCAGGCCAGCGCGCTCTGGCTGCCTCCCAGCCGGGCTGGCCCACATCATCGGGGCTGCCCTCCCGCCCAGCTCGGGGCCAACACCTAAGATCCTGAGCCCCCAGTTCCAACTGTACGAGCTTGCTCGGGCTGCCAGAACCAAGCACCGCAGGCCAGGGGCTGGAACAACAGAAGTTTATTGTCTCGGGTTCTGGAGGCCGGGAGTCCGAGATGGAGGTGTCTGCACGCGGCTTCTCCAGAGGGCCCCTCCTCGGTTTGCAGATGGCTGCTTCTCGCTGTGTCCTCACGGGGACACCAGTCCCCCTCATGCCTTCCTCTGAACTTCACAACCTCCGTAATGACCCTCTGGACATGAGCACATCCTCAGGTCTGGGGGTTTGGCACTTCTTCCTGGGACATTTGGGGCCGGGAGACACGGCTCAGCCCGTCACACCACAGGATGCTGTGTCTGGAGTCACAGCCGCGTTCCCCAGGGGCCTTCTGCAGCATCTCTGTGGGGCTACCTCCTGCCCACCCGAGCCGGCAGGCATGGGGGTGGGGGATGGGGGAGGGCACCGTGGCTGGGCTGGGGGGTCGGGGGTCCCACCCAGGGAAAGTGGCATCCTGACGGGGCCTCATTCTGCATTCAGCTCAGTCCCGAGGAGAGGAAACTGGGGTTCTCAGGGACGCCGGCTCCCCCCGTCGCTTAGCCTAGGGGCACTCAGTTGCCACGGTGACCTCCGTGTGCACAAACACACGGCCCAGCCACTCCTGCACGCTGGAGAGGGCTCCCCACCCCACCTCAGAGTTCACACTGAGTGTTGAGTCCCTTGGTGACAAAAACATGGAAACGGTTGCCATGGCAGCCATTCTTTGGAGCCCTCAGACTGGAGTGCAAAGTTCAGGATGCCCAGGAATGGCTGAAATGAAATATGGGAAAATCTGCCATGTCCCTCACCCCAGAAGGATGAGCTGAAGGGTGGCAGACGTGCCCCGGGCCCCACTGTCCCTGAACCTCGCCAGCATCCTGAGCCAAGTGTGGGGACAGAAGGGGGAGCAGGAAGGGCCCCAGGGATTTTAAGAGAGGCTGGCCGGCACGGGCGGGTGGGCCGTAAGCGGGCAGGTGAGGACCGCTTGGCATGCCTGGGGACATGTCCTTGCGGCTGTGGGAGCTCAGGTCCTTCAGGTGTAATCTGGAGACGAGCTGCTGCTGCTTTTCCAGGAGGACCCCAGTCCACTCATCCACCAGGGCACTCCTGAGCCTGGGCCAGGGGGGAAGGTGCAGGGGGTGGCAGTGGGCTCAGCAAGGGCAGCATGCCCTGTTCGGACCATGGTTCATGACCAGGTTTTCCTTGATCAGTCAGTGCAGCAGAGACCTCTCCCCTTCTCCCCTGGAATGATTGTGTGCTCCCCCAGCAGTTCCCCAACTGGGCTGCACGGGGCTCTGCTAACCGGAGATGCGCTAGCTGCACAGGTCTGCGCTCAAGAGTTGTTTGGGAAACCAACCCACACGCATATAACAATTTATAGACTGAAGGCTCTGAAAAGTCCTGCAGTTAAGGAAACCTCTTAACTTTAACTCAATTTCACAAACATTATTGAAGCAAAGTTCCCCATCTTTTTTTTAAAGGCATTTCTCCCTACTTTAAAAATCTCTCTTAATATCCTACAGAAATGACATTAACATTTACTAGGGCACTGATTCTCAAAGTGTGTTCCAGGGAGCAGCAGCAGCAGCTCCACCTGGGAACTGGTGACAGGTGGACTCCAGACCTGTTGAATCAGAAATTCTGGGGTGAGGCCCAGCAGTGTCTGTTTAACAAGCCCTTCGGGGCATTCCGACGCAGGCTGCAGTGCTGGAACCCCTGTACCAGGGGATGTTTCAGTTGAGAATTAGGAGGCGAATGGCCTGGGGAATTGGAAAGGGTCGGGAGGGAGGCAGGCAGCCTGGCAGGGTTGGGAGGGGGTGCCCTACAAGGACCCTGGACGCTGTAAGGGCGCCATGGCCACCTGGAAGGGCAGGTTCACGGTACCCTGTACCTGGGACTGAGAGCCCATCATGGTTTTCTGAGACTGGGTCAAGGGCAAGGCTGTGTGTCTGGAGGTGTCATAAGGCTTGATGTTAAGTGCTTGGAGTCTTTGTAAATGCCGTGGCAGGAAGTAGGGTTGGTGGTGGTGGTGGTGGGGGGGGACACTAAGGAGGTTCCCACCCGGCCTGAGGACTGACAGGCACTGCTCTCACAGAAGGCACCTGTCCTGGGCAGCGACTCTGCCCAGAGTGCTGGGAGGAGGGGTGGTCAGTTCCTCTAAGCTTCTTCTGGCCTTGCTGGCCCTAGAGGAGGTTTGTCCCCAAAGGCAAAGATTCAACAGAGGCATGATGTAAGGCTTCTTGGAGCAGCAGGTGGGGTTCCCCAAATCCATTTCGGTACCACCCAATGGGGTACCCTGTGCTGTCCTGTCCCAGCTGTGTCTTGTCCATCAGACTGGCTGACCTATCCTCGGCTATGCAAGCAGGCAGGGCCCACCTGACTGCAGGAAGGGGGCAGGGGGGGCAGGCGTCACTCCTTGGCCCCGGGGTCCCACTCTCCTGCCTGTGCTTCCTTGCAGCGGTCCAGATCCACATCCTGAAGGCGGACAAGGCAGGGGACTGGTGGAAGTTCACGGTGAACATCATCTCCGTGTACAAGCAGGGCACGAGCCGCATTCGCCGTGGTGACCAGAGCCTGTGGATCCGCTCACGGGACATCGCCTGCAAGTGTCCCAAAATCAAGCCCCTCAAGAAGTACCTGCTGCTGGGCAATGCAGAGGACTCGCCCGACCAGAGCGGCATCGTGGCGGACAAGAGCAGCCTGGTGATCCAGTGGCGGGACACGTGGGCAAGGCGGCTGCGCAAGTTCCAGCAGCGCGAGAAGAAGGGCAAGTGCAAGAAGGCCTAGCGCGGTGGCCGCGGCGCCAGGCGGGCAGGCAGGGCGGGGCGTGGGGCCAAGCGGGCTTTCCCGGTGGTGGGGGGCGTGGGGAGCGGGCAGGGGCGGGGCTGCAGGGTGGGGCCTTGGGCCGTGGCCCCGCCCCAGCCTCCCCTCCCCCTCCCGCTGCGCGCGCCCGGGGCGGGAGAGATGAGGACGAGACTTAGCTACCTCACGGGCTCCTTCCAGAGCAGCGGCGCGCTCTCCGGGCGGAGCAGGCCTGACCCGGGGTAGGGGTGGGGTGGACAAGGGGCCGGGGTGGGGGGCGCAAACTGCGCAGGTGGGGCCACCCCCTCGGCGCCGGATGGTTCTGGAGAGGGGGACGTGAGAACTGTGAACCCCGGGGTAGGAGGCGCTGAGCGAGACGCCCCACCTACCCCCAGACCCTCCTTAGTCTGGGGATCCCCACGCGGGACCCCTGGCCGCGACAAGTTGGGCCCCATCAGGACCTTGGGGGTCCGGAGCAGTCCCCAGTTGGCCTGTGGCCTCTGCTGCCACCTGCTGAGTTGGTCCTGGTGGGGTGGTTCTTGGGGCAGGGTGGGGATTCCCGTTGGTGGAGCCAGAGGACTGCGATCTGGGGTTGGCGCCTGTCCCCGCAGGGGTGCGCAATGGGTGCTAGCCCATGCCCAGGGCAGTGGACCCAAGGGCAGCCCCAAAGAGCCCCAGCCGGGTGGTCACCGCCTCACGCTGGAGCTGCCTGTTGGAGGAGGCATTGCGAAGGCAAAACCTCCCAAAGAGTTTCCTTTCTGGAAACTTGGAACCAGCCCCTTTATGACATTTTCCAGGGAAGGGGGAAGGGGCCGTGACACTATTTGTGTAATGAAGTCAGCTCCTGGGAAGGGCCTGGGGCATGGAATGCAGGTTTGCACAGGCAGCTGGGCCAGGCTGGGGGAAGGGGTTTGTCCAGGAGGGCCAGGGTTTGCGGGCTCAGCAAGGTCGCAGGGTGCCCGAGCCTCAGCTAGGCAGTGACAGGGACAACCAGGTTCCTGTGGGCCAAGGAAGCCATGACCACTTCCAGTTGCTGCCCTCACTCCCGCGTCCCTCGGGAAAGGGACAGAGACTGCTGGACCAAGCATGCCCGCTGCAGCCACCCCTGCCCTGGGGCTCCCCCTCCAGCTGCGCAACACCTCGCCTGCTTCTTTCCGGCTACCCCTTGTGGAGGCCTTCCGTGCCCCCTGGTGTGGCCAGGCCCCCTTCCCAAAGCTTTCTGGAGACACTGTCCCCAAACAGGCAGCCCCAGACCTTTGGCCCTTTGGCTCTCCGCACACAGGGCCCATCATCGAGGCCTGGGGCCTTTTGCTGCCCTGCCTCAGAGCTCTCTGCACTGCCCAGGGGCCTCTGGCCCAGTCCTCACACCCGGCACACTGAATTAGAGGCCTGGCTCTGCTCTCAGTCAGGAAATTGGTTTCATTTTCCCTGCTGGAGCTCGGTGGCTCACAAGGGTCAGACCAAGTATGAAGCTCAGCCTCTCGTGGTCTGGCTTCCCTCTGCCTCCCCGGCTTCGGCCCACAGCTCGGCTGTCTTACTGAGCACCTGCTCTGTGCCAGGCACTTTACCCATGTGACCTTACCTAAGCCTCATGACGACCCCGAGACAGGGATTCTCAGCCCACTTCTGCCAGCGAGGACACTGCTCAAGGTCACAGGAAAGTAAGAGGCAGAGCTGGGTTCAGACTCCAGAGCCGGGCCTTCTGGCCACACTGCCCCTCACTGCACACTGCCCTGTAGCCCACCCACCCCCTCGGTTTGCACGGCTGGGTTGCTGCTGAGACACTGGCCCCGGTGACGGCATCTAGCTTGGGGAAGCGAAGTCAGGGTGGGGACGGGGACAGGGTCCGGGGCTGGACACAACATCTTAAGAGGTGGCGGAAAGAGTGGGTGAGGCAGGGCGTAAACTCGCCACAGGTCCAAGAAGGCAGGCCTTGGCTAATCCTGAAACGTCGTAGAAAGGACATTTGGCTGCCTGGGGGTGTTTGGAGGGCTTCCAGAACAGACTGGGAGAGATGCCTAAGGGGGCAGGGAGAAGACAGCACTGTCCTAGGAAGGAGTATCCAGGCCCACGGCTGGGTGCACAGGGACCCCACCAAGCAGCCAGCCCTCCTCCACCCGAGGCCTGGGAGGTTTGTGAGCGCCATGAGCATCTCTGAGGCCTCCCTAACTGCTGGGCCCCCTATTTGAAAGGGCCGGCTCTCTTTTCTGCTCACACTTGTCTGGCTTCTCCACTCTGCCTAGAAAGGTTGTGCCCTCCTGGGCCCGAGTGTCGCCCCACGTCCCCTGAGGGGCTGGCACTGGTGGTCTCCGAGGCCCCCTAGCCTCTCGCTTTAAATTCCACCGGCCTCCCCCTCGGCTCAGCACCCCGAGGGCGAAGGCTCTCCCGTCCCCCCTCCCCTGCCCCGTGGCCAGGCCCCAGAGCAGCCGGTGGGGGGTGTGAGGACCCTGGCGGGAGAGTTCAGTCATCCCAGCCTGCCTCGCCCATCTCAAGGACCCAGCCCTCCGCTCCTCGGAGTCCAGCCACCAAGTTCAGCAGCGAGGGCCCATCCCAGGGAGAGCACCCTCTTCCAGCCTGCCCCCCTCCCTGGGAAGGAGGAACGGAGGCGTTTCCGGTTTGTACAGTTAGGATCGGATGTAAAACGGAGCTAGCTTTTGATTTTTGAAGAGTGTATTAACCAGAGTTGTGATATGTAGGTGTCTGAGAAAAACATACCAGATTAGTTTCTAAAAATGAAAACAGAATGCCCACCTGTCCTTTTTCTCACCTGCTGGGTGGTCTGGAGCCCCCAACAGCAACGTGCCTCCTTGACTGACAAACAGTAACACTAAAGATTACGGGGTAGAAGAGAGGGAAAAGGTGAGGGGCTGCCCCAGGTTCCCAGAGATGGGAAGGGAGAGACCCCTGTGGTACAAGCCAGGGGGACTGGGGACCTCTCCGAGGCCCCTCATGTCCCCTCTGCCTCCATAGTAGCATGCAGGAAATGGGTACAGACTTCCTTGGGTGTGGCCCAGAATGGAATGAAACTGAAAAATGTTAGGGTCTCAACACATAAAGGAAGTCCCCTATACCCCCGAGAGAGCGAGACTGGCAAATGGACGAACTAGACTCATGGTTGGGGTCACTGGGCCACAGTTCATGGCCACAGCCACGCCATACCCCAGGGGTATCCAAATGCGTACTCGTGGGGCCTGGCCCCTGGCCAAAACCAAGCCAGCCCCATTCCCACATCATCAGACCTCTCTTCCCCCTGTTCCCAAAGGCACTTCCGTCCCCCACCCCCCCGCAGCTCCCTCCTGCGTTTCTGAGTTCTGTTCACTCAGAATTGTAAATGTTTAGTTGTGACCATGACATATTGTTTGGGTCAGTGTTTCTTTCCAATGCATACTAATATATTATGGTTATTATATATGAATATATTTAATGACATGGAAAAAGTTGTGGATTTTGTTTTTTGTTTTTTGTTTTTTGGGTTAGAGTTGTAACGGACCCAGATGGAACTTGTAACGTGGGCCCCACAGGATAGAACTAAGTTCAGATATCATTTAAATAAACTCTTGTACACTGTTCACTGTCTCCTCGTCTTTCCTGGTGGCCTGAGCATGCCGTGGGGCGAGGAGAAGGAGTCTTCAGGAGTATCATTTCTGCTCTCAGAACTACCCAGTGACCGAGCCCTAACAACCCCAAAGAGACAGGAACAGGGTCACTCCGCTTGCAGAGTTCTAGGGTTTGCTGGCTCTGACTGTGACTTGGAGCAAAAGCCTCCCAGATGGGACCGTGTATTTTTCAGTCCCCCAGAAACCGCCGCTGGGATCCATCCCTGCCACTCCCCGGGGCTCCAAGTCAGCAAAAAGAGGTGTCCTCGCACAGCTTTGAACTTCCCCTCCTGATTCAGACCCACAGTAGTTTTTGCCTTTCACAGAATCTGTGTCTTCTACTCAGAGCCAAGAACAGACTCTGGAGGGAAGACAGTGGGGTTGGGGGAACTTGGAGTTGGTTTCGCGCCACGGATGAAGGTGCAGGGCAGGCCCCAGGGGCTGAGCTAACTGGGTTCCTGGGAGGCTATATTTAAACTCCCAATGGTTGTGCTTTCTTTAATAAAGAATTCAGTCATTAGAAACCCCTTGCGTTACCATGCAGAGCGGGGGGGGGGGGGGTCGTCACCAGGAAGCTGTAACTTCTACACCCACCTATTTCAAAGACAGGTCTCGGTGGTGGGCCTAGGCTGGCCCTGGAAGGCCTGGAAAGCCCTTACCTTGAGGCTTGAAAAGGTGACGGAGATGCCTTGAGCTTCTCTGGAAGAACCAGGGCCAGCCCAGCAGCCGCAGGGGTCCGGCTCTGAGAGATGGGGACTGTGTTCTCGGAACCAGGGGTAAAAGCCTGGCCAGGCGTGATCTCCGGTGTCCTCATCAGCTCAGGAGTGAGTCCCCCACTGGGGTGGCCATGCCTGGACATGCCGAGGAGACAGGAAGCCCCAGGGTGGGGGTGGGGATCTGTGGACTGAAGACCCGCGGAGTCACTAGGGCTAAGAGGTGTGTGCCATACACTCACCTTGGGTCATCCAGCGTCAGGGATCCAGTTCTCAATGATTTTCAGGATGAGGCTTTTTTCGATCCTTCATAAAAATGTTGTCTCTGCCTGAGGGCACCGACTCCTTTGGGGCCCCGTCGTAGCCAGGCCCCATGTGCAGCCACAGCCCCAGGCCAGAACGAAGCTCCCCATTGGTCAGAGACAACATGAGAGCATGATCTGTAAAACAACCCGCCTTCGACGGCCTTGTGTTCTCGCTGGGGAGGGGACATGCTGCCACCTGCTGAAGTCAGTGCAGGAAAGGAGCCCCAGACGCTGCTAAGTGCTGGCCTGGGAGGGCCGACAAACCCACGGAGACGGCCGCTGGTGCCCAAGGAAGCTGAGTGATTCCATCCGGGACTTCGGGTTCAAAGCCCAGACCCTCAGGGCCGGGGACACGTCCCAGAGTCTGCCCGACTTTCCGGGAGGCGAGGCCCCCGCCTTTGTAAAGCCGCCCCTCCTCCGAG